AGAAAATATCATACTTTTTCAACTGTTTAACAAATGAGGGTTCATTAAATTTGTTTTCTCCATGTAGTATATATTCTTATTATATGGTGTTCCGTTGGGGCCACTCGCACTTTCGCCCTCGCATTTTACTCCTGTAGAGCTCTTTATCGTTATGAGTTAATTTTAGTGGGCTTTTGGATGTTATTGGTTCGCATGCGCTAGATTAGTGTGTTGGCGTCAAAATGGATAGTAAACAATGGTTGAAACTAATTGTACAATGACGTTATTACTAATGAATATACACTTGCTATTTTATGAAACGAGAAATAGTGTAATTGAGCACTGGACACTCTAATTTAATATACAATGGTAGATTATATAATGTAATGATGGTAAATGAATGTTGTAACTTGTGCATGGTGCACGAGCAAAATTATAGTTATATATGTATTCGTATTGGTGGCGTGCATCACAGTCTCAGCTAAAGGGGAGGGAACATAAGATTTTATCATGATCCATAAACTGTAAAAAAATTTATTTTGTAATTTTGTTATATCCTGGTGATATATATATATGTGTATATATGCAGTAGATCTACTTCGTTCTACATTGTAAGCAAACGTTTGATGATAATTTCTATTTTATTCTCCTCCTCCTCCTGTGCATATATATATATATATATATATATATATATATATATATATATATATATATATATATATATATATGCAGTGGCGGATCCAGGAATTTCATAAAGGGGGGGGGGGGGCAGTAGAAGGCAGGAGGTCTAGGGGCTGCCTTGAAGCCCCAGTGGGTCCAGGGCAAATCCCTGGTGGGGGTCCAGGGGCCAAAGCCCCGAAAGCTGACAAATTCTTACAAAAAAGACATGCTTTTTTAACTATAAATGCATGTTATACAAAAATTTAAAAGAAAAAATCAAAATACTTACTTCATGAATTAATGTATTTTATTTTTTTAATTACAGAAATTGAATGGGAAGAGTTGGAAACTCTCCTTAAAAAATTGGATTGGGCAATTACTCCCAATTTTTTTAGGATAACATGGGAGGTCATTAAAAAGTATGTAGTGCCAGCCTGGATTAACTTATTTTAATTTTACATACTAAGCTGGACCAATGATTGCATGTTGTTCCTTTAAGTCCCAGTAAATTGATGCTGCATGAAACAAGTGTCCTTCTGTACTAAATTCAACTATATTTATACTGAGTTTAGGTTGTTGAAAATTAAAAAAAAAATGCATGTGTCAGTAATGCAGTACTTAAGTTTTAATTACATTAAGTGACATGATCTGACATGCAGTCTCGTAAGACCTACAATGATTTCACATTACTTATTTACTTATTGTTAACTTTTGCGGCATTAACAATTAGTCTTTCAATACGAACAGGAGGCCCAAGGCCCTTAACAGTCACCTGAGTACAATATCATTTAGAGGATCCATAAACTGATAAATGAAGCTTTGTTGCCCAAATGCAAGAAAAATAGACTAGTACGATTAGCATCAACAAAATAATTGGTCTAGTATCTATCTGTCCCCAATTTATCACCATTACCATGCAGTCTATTAACAAAATGTCTATTTTTTAACCCCATATTTATTTATTACTTCTCAAATTGGCCTCTCTTGGCCTTTGAAGAACATTTAAAAGATAAAATATTTTTGTCTCAATTTTATTCATCTATTGTTTTCAAGTCTACATGATCATTAAAACTATGAAAGTACTTTTTGTATTATACGATAAATATTCTTGCATAATTCTCGTATTCTAGTAACTTTTCAAATACATTGCTTACAGTGATGAATTATCAAAGATGAATGGCAAAGGGGAATAACTTTGCTCAGCAGAATACAAGTTAATAGAGCCCTGGCCAGGACCACAACACTTGATTAAATGGTCCAGGTGTTCAAAATTCTAATAAAAATACCTTTGCATATTAAAACTTTTACTCACTTTGCCTCGAATATGCCCAGAATCATAGAAAATTTTCAGAGAAATGCATTTTCACTATATTATTAAATAAATGAAGCCCACCCTTACACCAGAACATCTGACCCAGGGGCCATGAACTCACAATTTTGGAAGAAGCACCCTTGCTCATCATAACTATACACTTGTATCTTTGCTTTATAACCAGTATTAGAAAAAATATTTTGAAAGAAATTAAGCATTTTCACTATAAAATCAATAGCCCCCCCCCCCACCTTTCACAAGAACCCCTGACCCAGGGGCCAGGAATTTCACAATTTTGGAAGAGGCATTCTTCTTTATCATAACCATGCACTTCCTCTGTTTGAATAATACCCAGGAGCAGAGAAGAAATTTTGAAAGAATTTATGCAATTTCACTATATAATCAATAGAGCCCTGCCTTACCAACAGAACCCTTGACCCTGGGGTCATGAAATTCACAATTTCTGAGAAGGCAGTCATGCTTATTCTAACTATATACTTAGTTTATTTAATATCCAGGAGAGAGAAGACTTTCAATGAATTAATGAATTTTCACTATATAATCAATAGAGCCCCATCCTAACAACAGAACCCCTGACCCAGGGGGCATGAAATTCACAATTCTGAAAGAGGCACTCTTGCTCATCATAACTATGTACTTAGTTACTATATTTAATACACAGGAGCAGAGAAGAAGATTTTCAAAGAATTAATGCATTTTCACTATATAATCAATAGAGCCCCGCCCTAACACCAGAACCCCTGACCCTGGGGCCATGGAATTCACAATTTTGGAAGAGTCACTCTTGCTCATCATGACTATGTACTTAGTTACATTATTTAATATCCAGGAGCAGAGAAGAAGATTTTCAAAGAAATAATGCACTTTCCCTATATGATCTATATAGCCCCTCCCTAGCACCTGAACCCCTGACCCTGGGGCCATGGATTTCACAATTTTGGTAGAGGGCTCAATGCTTATTATGCCAACAGTTTGATTGCTTGATGCCCAGGAGTAAAGAAGAAGATTTTTAAAGATTGTATTAATTTTGGTGGTTTTAGCCCCACCCCTCAGGCCCCAGGGGGGCAGGGACCATGAAATTCATAATTTTTGGTTCCCTTTACCCGTAGATGTTATATGCTAAATTTGGTCGAAATTGGTTAAGCAGTTTCGTCGAAGAAGCTAACCAGAAGTCTCTGATGAGACTGTAGCTCTACTGGTCTGTTTGTATAACAAAAGAAAAGTAGCACTTGGATTTGAAACTTTGCAACATGCAACAATGAATAGAATTATGTATCTTAATGTAGTCTACTTCTGTGCCAAGTTATATTGAAATCCAATAAAAACTGTAGGAGGAGTAGCGTTTTGAAAGTATTTCAACGGAAATTTCTATTTTTAGTAACCATGACAACACCACTCACCCAAATAAAAAAAACAGAAAGACATATTATGTATCGTAGTGTATTCTAACTGTGTGCCAAATTAGATTGAAATCAGACCAAAATTGTAGGAGGAGTAACGTTTAATGGGAATTTCACAAAAATTTCTATTTTAAGTAACCATGGCAACACTGTCCATCGAATTCAAAAACCAATGCAATAGATTATGTATCTTAGTATAGTCTTCTTGTATGCCTAATTATATTAGAAGCAGACTAAAACTGAAGCAGGAGTAGTGTTTAAAAGGAATTTCACAGAAATTTCTATTTTAAGTAACCATGGCAACACCGTCCATTGAATTCAAAAACCGATGCAATAAATTATGTATCTTAGTATAGTCTTCTTGTATGCCTAATTATATTGAAATCGGACCAAAACTGTAGGAGGAGTAGCGTTTTAAAGGAATTTCACAGAAATTTCTATTTTTAGTAACCATGGCAACACTGTCCAACGAAATCAAAAACCGATGCACTAAATTATGTATCTTAGTGTTGTCTACTTGTAAGCCAAGTTATATTGAAATCGGACCAAAACTGTAGGAGAAGTAGCGTTTTAAAGGAATTTCACAGAAATTTCTATTTTTAGTAACCATGGCAACACCGTCCATTGAAATCAAAAACCGATGCAATAAATTATGTATCTTAATGTAGTCTACTTGTGTGCCAAGTTATATTGAAATCGGACCAAAACTGTAGGAGGAGTAGCGTTTTAAAGGAATTTCACAGAAATTCCTATTTTTAGTAACCATGGCAACACCGTCCATCGAAATCAAAAATTGATGCACTAAATTATGTATCTTAGTGTAGTCTACTTGTGTGCCAAGTTATATTGAAATCGGACCAAAACTGTAGGAGGAGTAGTGTTTTAAAGGAATTTCACAGAAATTCCTATTTTTAGTAACCATGGCAACACCGTCCATCAAAATCAAAAACCGATGCACTAAATTATGTATCTTAGTGTAGTCTACTTGTGTGCCAAGTTATATTGAAATCGGACCAAAACTGTAGGAGGAGTAGCGTTTTAAAGGAATTTCACAGAAATTTCTATTTTTAGTAACCATGGCAACACCGTCCATCGAAATCAAAAACCGATGCACTAAATTATGTATCTTAGTGTAGTCTACTTGTGTGCCAAGTTATATTGAAATCGGACCAAAACTGTAGGAGGAGTAGCGTTTTGAAAAATTGTTTACAGACAGACGGACAGACAGACAGACAGACAGACGGACGGACGCCGGACACCTTACTATCGCATAAGCTCTTCTGGTCTCTGACCAGTAGAGCTAAAAATGATCAAATGTTAACGCACATCGCACGACGACGGACAAAAACGGATAGCAATAGGTCACCAAATAGCAAATCTCTCCAAATAAGAGTGAAGTACAACAAATCCATTGCCGAGTTTTACATATTTCACATGCCAGAGAGTTCATTGGAAAAACTCTCCATTATGGTGTGGTCCAACTGAGTGTACCTATATTGCGTGAAGTAATTCGAATTAAACTCTCCGTTTGAACAGGGCATAAAAGTAGTTTAACTACAGAACACTCTTTGAAACAGTTTAGATATTACATGTTTATATATTACCTGCATAAAGCTTGAGGTAAAAAATATCTCACACATTAGAAAGGTAATGTACCACTTTGACAATTACAGGTTTTGATTTTGAAACTCGTTGTTTTTTAGAGTTTGGTAGGTTCTCACTAAACACATTGTGAATTCCGTTCTGGGGATCTCGCTTGTGGATAACCTGCAGTTATAGTTATAGTTAAAGAGAGGCTAATAAGTTTCTTCAATGTTACATGTTACAGAAAAAACTACTTTTGCTTTCACAAGTGGATCCAAAGATACCTTACAACTGTAGTAGGACAAATGAAATATGTCATCACTATCACAGTGCGACTTTAGCTTCAGATCAAATAGTTCTGTAGAGAAGAAACATCTGCGATGGCATTGTGGGCTTCATAGGTTTCTCCCAACAATTTCTGAACAAGATCGCTGTTTATAGTTTCCGACATCAGCTTTAGAGATCGATGGCTTTTCTTGAAAGCTTCAACGTGTCGATGTATCCTGATACTGTCCCCTCAAAGCCCTTCAAAAGGTTACATTTGGTCAGCTGGTGTAGGAGAACAGGTAAATCAAAATTTTGGATATTATGTCCTATCAAAATGGAATCAGGAAACCATGACAGGAACTTGAGAAAATTTTGGAGTCCTTCAGATGCTGATGTTGACTCTACATTTTTTCCATTGTGTTTCAAAACACCTCCAACATATGTAAGAACTGTTTCATGAAAACCATGGTGAAATAATCTGTGAACACTTTGTAATAGACACTAGATGTAAGGAGGACTCGAAAGTTATTTACTGCTCACATTATAACTTCTTTATACTAACTTGTTGCATCAGATGCAGAAATACTGATGCTGCAGCATGTTGGTTTCTTGTAGACATCAATTTTTTTCTGTACCACAAACGCATGCTCTCTGAGGGATTTCTGAGGACCTGCCTATATTAAAGAAAGGGTTTTAACTTTTAGCACCATCTGCTCAACCATAAAATAAAACTTTTTAAAATAATTGTCGCTAAAAAAAATATGAGAAGGAAAACTTGTTGCCAATATTTGAATTATAAGCTTAACACTTACCTAGTACAGTTGTTTCAAGATCAAAAACTATAAATGAACTGCTTTTTAGGCACACTGACTTCGGCTCCATGCTGATGTCTCTAAGTCAACCGATTCCTCCAGCCCGATCTTTGAACTATATGTTGCACCTACATGTATTATATCAAATATTGTAGTTTCTAAACTAATGAATCAGAATTTATTTTATACTACTTGTTATTATAAATAAAATATTACCTTCGAGTACAGACTGGGTGGCATCTTTTGATGTTCTTTCATTTTTCAACTGCAGGCAGCGTCGTTTAACACTCCTCTAAGCCTACGTCAGCCTTTGTCTTTTTTAATTTTCTGGCTAATTTTGATGTCCATTTTTCTGTAAACCTTCAAAGGGACAGCTTACATCGTCTATTCAGCTGAAATTAACAGCACATTGAATAATTAATAAAATACGCAAAAGTATATCAAGTCTATATAAGTTTACAAGATAGGCAGCCAAAGATATATTGCCGAGTAATACTGTAGATTCCTTATTTTTCGCGAGTACTTATTATCGCGAAATGACTATTTAACGTCAAATCGCGAGAACAATGATTCGCGAGTGGACGGTTGATCAAGTGATTTTACATTGATTTCAGCACAATAAAAATAAAAGCGAGTAATTTTATTTCGCGAGTGGTGATTCTCGCGTAATTACGCGATAATTAATTCCTCGCGTATATTTAGGAATCTACAGTATGTATTCAAATGGCAACAGTTTTCTTAGGAACGCAATACAGTAAAACTTGGGTTATGAAGAACTGTTTTATAAAGAAATCTCAGTTATAAGAATTTTTTCATTAATCTTTTTAGCAACTTTTCCCTATGTTCTTTATATGGATATAAAGAATTTCAGTTACAAAGGAAGTAAAAGTCGAGGTCCCTGTGACTTCCTTACAAATGACTTTTACTGTAAATGTCTGGTTGAACCTAAGTGTTAAATCGAAAATTAAAATGCAAAAAATGGTAACTTTGCAAAAGAAAACAACAATAGCCAAACTTAACAACAACAAAAGAAGGGAAAAAAATGTGTTTGAGAAACACCGATACCCCCGTATGGCAATTTATAGCAAAGGTTTGTTTTTGTTTGTATATTGTTTAACGTCCCTTTCGAGAATTTTTCACTCATATGGAGACGCCACCACTTGCCGGTGGAGAGCTGCAAATTTTGTCCTATACTCGGCACTTACGGCCTTTGAGCAGTGAGGGATCTTTTTCGTGCCAGCACCTACTGCGACACAGGACCTCGGTTTATACGGTCTCATCCGAAGGACTGGTCTCCACGTCCCACAGTGGGATTCGAACCCTCGACGTAAGGATCAACTCCTTACTCCGCGACTCTAGAGCAGACGCTCTAACCACTGCGTCACGCGGGCGACTATAGCAAAGGTTAAACTTTCTCAAATGCAAATCAAATACGTTGGTACCAAAAGTAAGGTCTTCTCTCGAGGAATATACCTGTTTAATATGAGAGCCCTAGCAGCAACCATTGAATAAATATTGAAAAGGTTAAAGTTTTTCAAAAGTTATTCAAACATCAAGGTCAAGGTCAAAATTAATGGTACCTAAGGAATGGCCTTCTCACAAGAAATATACAGGTGAAATATGAAAGATGAAGCACCAATCGTTCAAAAGTTATGACCAAGAATAAAATATATCAAAAGTAGGTCACACTCCAAGGTCATGGTCAATGGATTACAATTGTTGGTATCCAAAGGAAGGTCTTGTTACAAGGAAAAAAACATGTTAAATATGAAAGCCCTAGCAACAACTTTTCAAAAACTGTGTCCAAGGTTAAAGTTTTCGAAAATTAGGTCAAAGTCCAAAGTCAAGGTCAATGTTGTTGGTATCCAAAGGAAGGTCTTGTCACAAGAATTATGTATGTGAAGTATGAAAGTCCTTGCACCAACGGTTCAAAAGTTATGGCCAAGGTTAAAGTTTTCCAAAAGTAAGTCAAACTCCAAGGTCAAGGTCAAAGGGTCCAAGTTGTTGGAATCAAAAAGATGGTCTTGTCACAAGGATTACATATGTGAAGTCTGAAAGCCCTAGCACCAGCCGTTCAAAAGTTATGGCCAATCTTAACGTTTTACAAAAGTTGGTCAAACTCCTAGGTCAAGGTCAAAGTTGTTAGTATCCAAAGGAAGGTCTTGTCACAAGGATAACATATGCTAAGTATGAAAGCCTTAGCACTAACCGTTCAAAAGTTATCGCCAATGTTAAAGTTTTTCAAAAGTAGGTCAAACTCCAAAGTCAAGGTCAAAAGGATCAAATATGGTGGTACCCACAGAAAGGTCTTGTCACAAGGAATACCCATGTGAAAAATGAAAGCCATAGCTCCAACCAATGAAAAGTTATGGGCAATGTTAAAGTTTTTGGCGGACAAACAGACAGACAGACGGACGGACAGGGCAAAAACTATACACCCCCGAATCTTCGATACGGGGGCATAAAAAGAAACAACATATACCAAATTATTTTAAAAACCAGAAGTCTCTGACGAGACTGTAGCTCTACTGGTTTGTACTTATAACAAGGAAGAGAAAAGAAGCACTTGGACTTGAAAAATTGCAACAACAATAAATACAATAATGATCCTTGGTTTAGTCTCTTTTTGTTGCAAGATTTATTGCAATCAGACTCAAACTGTAGGAGGAGTAGCTTTTTTAAAGAATATTACAGAAATTTCAATCTAAGTAACCATGGTAAAACCATTCGTCAAAATCAAAAACCGATACACAGAATTATGTATCTTAGTGTAGTCTACTTATGTGCCAAGTTATATTCAAATCAAACCAAAACTGTAGGAGGAGTAGCGTTTTGAAACTATTTCACAGAAATTTCTATTTTTAGTATCCATGGCAACACCGTTCATCCAAATCAAAAACCGATACGCAGAATTATGTATCTTAGTGTAGTGTACTTGTGTGCCAAGTAATACTGAAATCAGATCAAAACTGTAGGAAGAGTAGCGTTCTGAAAGTATTTCACAGAAATTTCTATTTTTAGTAACCTTGGCAACACCGTTCACCGAAATCATAAACCGATACACAGAATTGTGTATCTAAGTGTAGTGTACTTGTGTGCCAAGTTATATTGAAATCAGACCAAAACTGTAGGAGGAGTAGCATTTTGAAAAATTGTTTTCAGACAGACAGACGGACTCTGACCAGTAGAGCTACAAACGTATACAACTTGGTTAACATTTCCAAACAATTCATTCTACCTCTGTGAGTCGCCCGCGTAGCGCAGTGGTCAGATCGTCTGCTCTAGAGTCCCGTCGTAAGGAGTTAATCCTTACGTCGCGGGTTCGAATCCCACTGTGGGACGTGGAGACCGGTCCTTCGGATAAGACCGTATAAACCGAGGTCCTGTGTCACAGTAGGTACTGGCACGAAAAAGATCCCTCACTGCTCAATGGCCGTAAGTGCCGAGTATAGGACAAAATTTGCAGCTCTCCACCGGCAAGTGGTGGCGTCTCCATATGAGTGAAAAATTCGAGAGAGAGACGTTAAACAACATACAAACAAATCTACCTCTGTGATCTTATTGTAGCCCTCATTCTTTTGACAAACAGTAGCTGAGACGCTTGTTTTTAAACGTTCATTGCGAGGGATGTCTATGCGCCGCCTATCCACTCTCTAGTTGTCAGATGTTTGTGTATCCTTTCTCTGGTAGTCAGTGAAATGTATATTCTGATTTCCAATTCTGAAGATATATACTACACGACTGGTCATTTTTTTTCTCCCGTCTTTCTGGTATTTTGGTGGTAAAATTGATAAAAGTAATGTTTGAGAACAACGGGAACTGATGTAAGTCACCGTGTTGGAAAAATTTCTTCAAAAGTATGCTTACTTGCAATACTAACTGAATGCCAGATACCTAGCAAGCTTCCGTTTTTATTGACACAGCGCGAGCCTACAAGTAAGCACCTGTAAGCCAGTATGTAACGAGTTAATATTCATTGCAAATCCATATTTGTGCGATCTTGTGTTTGTGGATAGATACTTTGGTAGAATAAATTGTGGGTTAAACATGAATTTTAACATCCTTCCAAAAGATGAAGGTTAGATTAAGGCACGATTTAAGAGTATAGTTAAGAAAATCAAAAAGGAAAGGGAAGCGATGGGGTGAGATCCAGCGATTTAAAGGCATAAAAAGGTAATTGAACCTTTAAGGAATATCCATAGGTAAAAAAAAAAAAACCTAGATTTATTTGAATGAGATTTGGGGAAATATGATTATAAGGTTCTTAGGTCAAATGAATAGTTTTAAACAAAGAGATAGAGCCAAATCCTTTTTACTGCAGACACAGGAGTGGGAAAGTGTGTCATTTTTGTTGTAGAAACCTTATAGTAATATGCAGGGCCAACGTTTTGTTTATGAATAGTGATTTTTTTAATGAAATTTTCATTTAATTACAATGTGATCACTCTAAACACATTACTTTAGGTCGGGGAATGTAATTTAAAAAAAAGAGAGATATACACAGGCATGTAGGACATACAGACACAAGAGAATCTAAGCGTATGAGGGTTGAAAGACTGAAGTATTTTATGCCTCTTAAGAGACATTATAGGGTATCGAACTAAATATTTTGATAGATCTCCGTAACATGGCGACAAACAGTTGTTCCAAGTATTGAATTTACCTTCAAAATTGATCAGCCGCGATAGCCATCAATTTACGTTTTCTGTCGTTCAGTTGGGGGGGGGGGGTGAAATTGGATCGAGGCTGGTATAAATGACAACACTCTTGTTACTCTCAGTTTCTTTCTTGTGTTCACCTGTCTATTGTCGATCAGTTAATAACCAGCCAACATTTATTTGTAGGTTCAGCCTTGCCATACAAAGGACCATCTCAATGAGAGAAAATGTTTGTTGTTTAACGTACCTCTCGTGATTTTTTTTACTCAAATGGAGACGCCAACACTTGCCGGTGGTGGGCTGAAAATTTTGACATCTCAGAAAATGATTAAGATTATACGAAGAGTTCAAATTCTCATCAGTAAACAAGTGGATACCATTTTAACTTCAGAGCTCCTGGAAGTTAATAATTAGTTATAATTTATTTATATTATCTAAGTAAAACCGCCAGTGAATTTATAGAGTTAAATATTTGATGAATTTCATCTTCATTGCTGATGTAAAGTGGTTTTAAATGTAGTCTTTTTACGTATTAGAAACTCAATGAGAAAACCATTTACTGTGTTGAAATAGTAAAATCGTGCCCTAGAAATCACAAGTATTCCTTTAAGTAAAGTAAAATATTTAAAGCAACAAATGGCTTGTCTTCAAAGGAATGAACATAATCAATCATACGTATGCTGCAAAGTTAAACAGGTTTCAAACAAAAGAAATTATAACCATGCACGCTGTAACGTTATCATTAATTTGTTAATTCAGATGCCTTGATCGAAAGTAGAAACAGTATTCTAGAAATATATACAATTAATGTGAAAATTTTGCATTATTAGTTTTATTTAAATGTAAATATGACACTAAAAAGAAATCTGAAACGCTTTCTTATTCTTTGGAGTAGTATATTTTATTGTTTTTCAAGTTTGCAAAATGGATTCTCACATTTACAGCATGGATATAGACTTGACCGAAAAATAATCAATGTCTTTGACAACTATAGTATTTTGGATTGTGTCAAAGAATGTCTCAGGACAGCAAGGTGTCAATCTGTAAATTATCACAAAGGAGCAAATATATGTGAAATCAATTATGAAAATAAAGCGACCGGAAGAGATCATTATACCCCAAGTTATGGCTGGATTTATACTAACGCAATCGACTGGATCAGGGTAAAAGTTATACTTTATTTTAAGAGCCATAGATGATCCTTGACTTTCATGAGTTTTTAAACCTCTTGGAATATAAGACTTAGAACAAGAGTATAGAAAGTGGATTTTTTTTGGATAGGTTGTGAATCATGCAAGTTTTTTCTTTGCTAAAGAAAATTAGAGATACCCTCTATTGTAGTTTTTCGTTCATCTGTGATCTGTTCGGTTAAAAAAAATCTGCCTGTATTAAATATGGATTGCTGGAGTGTTAATTGTGTTTCCGGTAGAGCGCTCGCTCCGTGATCGGAAAGTCGTGTGTTCGAATCAAGGCCGCGACTGACCTGAGTCGATAAAAAAAAAAATAGGAAGCATCCCTTCCATCCCCAAGCGCTCGGCACTTTGAAGTGAAAGTTGCGGGTCTTTCGGATGAGATCTTAAAAACCGTAAACTACATGTAAGGGTAGGCGTTGGCACGATAAATAACTCTCACTGCTCCATTGCCCTGAGTGCCGAGTAAATGTCTAAATTTGAAGCCCTTCGACGGTATAGATGAAGGTCTCTACATGAGTGAAAAATTCTCGAACGGGACGTATAACAACAATCAATCATTCGAATTAGTTATTTTATGAAAAAAAAAAATGATTTCCAGTTTTCAAAGCTTGTGTCATTGAAAATATCAATTATGCAGCTTCAAAAAAAAATCTAAAGCTTCATGCATTTTTTACAACCAAAAAAAAAAAAAAAAGAAGAAAAGAAAGACTTAATCATGTTACCGTGTTAAATATTGGTAAATATATAAATATAAATATATTATTAAATTAAATTATATATAAATAGTTTCGCAATATTCAGATTATACAGCGTTCAATACCTAGCTGGCATTCCGAAAAAAATCGAAAATACCCTTTAAGCCCATTACTGTTGTACTTTTCAACTAAACACAAACAAATTGCTTCAAGGGCACTTACAACTCAGTTATGTAACGAGGAATTGGGTCGGTAGGTAGATGGATTTTTTTTCTAGAAAATTTCAACAAACATATTGACGGGATGAGAAAATTCATGAATGAAAAGAAAAAATCGTTTCCTGCAGGTTTGAAAAGTTTTTAGTCGGGTCATTTTTGGAAAGTCGGTCGTGAGAGGGCAAACAAACGATATTTTTAATGATGGCCTTATCCGTCGTTTGATTTTACTGCTGAATTGTTTTAAGAATTTATAGACAAACGACTGTTTTTAATTTTTAACAAAAAAGAATATGTGTAAAAAAAAAAAACAAACAAAAAACAAAATCATTAATGAAATAATGCGACGATCCCATAAATTCATTTCACTAGTAAACCTCGGCGGTGCAATACATGTATATATGTATAATTTTCATTGGAAAATTTGTGCATTCAGTCGGTTTAACTGCCTTTGAATGATTTTCCGTTAACGTTGAAGTCTTATTACATATTTGACTTTTTGCACCCCCCCCTGATGACCACGTGTTTGTCATATAAGGATATTAAAAAAAAAAGTCTGCGTGGCGTAGTAGATATATGTGAGCATTAGCTTTAGAGTATCGGAATAAGAAGTTGGTCCTTACGTCGCGAATTCAAACCCCACTGCGGGACGTGGAGACCGGATTTTTGAATGAGACCGAAAAAACATAGGTCCCGCGACGCAGTGGGTGCTGGCACGAAAAAACTTCGATTCCTCAGTCCTGCTGAGTGCAAGTCTTAATTTGCTGCCTTTCATTTGCATGAGGAAATTTCAAAGACGGATCAAGTGCCTAGGAGGAATAGGCATCCCTGTTGAACAGTCACACTCCTGTGAGCCCTGTACTGTGTATTGATCAGGTGGACGGAAAATTCCGTCCTCAAATTGAATATAAATCAAAAGCCTTACAGTTGTTATGGAACACGTCAAAAGATATGACCTGTTTAACGTCAGTCCGATGTTTGTTGTTGTCAGTTTTCAATAACCGATAATCTGGGTTTTTTTTCTGTATTAATACGCCATTAATTTAAACGATAAATGAAGATAACGAACAGTATTCAATCTAGAAAGTCCAATGAAACGATACAAATTTGGAGCTCAGCAAACACGGGCCTAAATATTTGGAGGTGGGATCAGGCGCTATGGAGGAGTGAGCCTTCTTAGGTCGTTAGAAAGGGAGTTAATGTTGCAGAAGAAATGCATAACGCCCGTTTGTAAATTTTTTTCTGCATTAACTGCAACGTTAATTCCTTTAATTTCAAAGGAAGAAAGACATGTTATCTTTTATATCTATATCATTTAAAGTAGTTAGGACTGAGCAGATTAAACATTGTATTCTTCATATGAATGGCACTGTGTATTTCATTGATGGAAGAGCCACTGCTATGAAATCTGTACAGGTGATATGCTAAGTGTTGTTTGCTGACTGATTAACGGCAATGGTTTTAAAGGAGAACTAGACAGTGGGTGTAAATATATGCAGGACAACATTTGTTTAAATATATCATTTACCAATTTTATTTTACATCTTCACCTTCTAATTCAATTGAAGAAATTTCTTTACCCCAAATACAGCCTATCCCTCGAGACTTATTAAAGTTTCAGTATTGTTAAAAAGTTTTACTGTTTTTTTTTTTTTTTTTTTTTTTTTTTTTAGAAAATGTATAGATTATGCTTTTTTAAAATTTCAGATTGTATAATGCTGAAAGCCGAATCTGCATTATTTCAGCTATGCTTTGGCGTTATTTTTTTTTTATTTACGACGTGAGCATCATGCTTTGGTTTTCAAAAATATAACAGTCTTCCATGTAAAATTCGACATATTTGTCAATTAAAATTTATTTCTCTTAATTTTGTAGGAATTAACAGGTGTGTGTTTAAATTCAAACTGCGGCACAAATGAAACATGCATACCTCTTCCTTCAGGAGATCACAGATGTGCCTTGTCAGGTGCGTAATGATTTTTTTAGTTAATTTTCAAACTCTTGATCGACTCGAAAAAAGTAAGATAATTAACGCTTGAAATATTAATTTTGCATCAAGCCACTGATGCACAGCTTTGAATTAATTATATACATGTAATTAGATATTCCTTGGAAGTATTGACAACACTTGAAAATATTTTTTATGAAGCCTTTGATGAATCGTATGAAGGAGACAATCCAATTTATAAAGTCGCATTCAAATCAATAAAATTCTCCTAGCCAGTCATTATCTATAATTAGGTTAATAAATGAATGCCAATTTGTCTCCTTCAAAGACAATTAGGAGTATCGGTAATTTTTTTTTTCAAAAAGAGAACCAAAAATATACAATGTTGGTACCACCTGGACTGAAGTTCAGTGAAATAAGATGTTATAAACAAAGACAATGCTTGCTAGATTGTGGTGTACCAGTTATATCAGGTGCAGATATGGACAGTTTGGGAAGATGGGATGCCATTGGTATTGAGCGGACGATGGAACTAGAGTGTTTAGGGAACTACGTAAAGATTGGAACAGGGATTCTGAGATGCACAGTTAGTGGACAATGGACGATAGACCTCAGCTGTGGTAATCACTATGTTATTATATGCAAGCTATACGAAAAAAAAGATATACAATGTAGTTTAGACTTAATATTTGATATTACATATAGTTATTGGCGAAAAGATGATCTTTTGATTCACCAACCCCTCTTCCCGCCTAATTTCAAAAAGTTATAAGAATGGCTATTAAGCTATGTAACACATGCATCAATATTAGCACAAAATGCCGCTCGCTCTGCAATTCTTGAAGCAATATCGGTGGGAGAGAAGTTTCATACTGTGCTGAGTTTTGATCCAAATTACTTTTTTTCTGCAGTTTTTCTCTGTGCCCAAATGTTCCATTATACTACAAACTTAAGTTAAATGTATTCTATACCTGTGGTACTTTTCTTTTACTCGAATTCTCGTAATAACCATAAACCCAAAGCAAAGGGATCGCCGACTTACTCCAACGAAATGAAGGGAAGTACTTATAGTTAAGGACCTTCAGCTGAAAAAATACTTGTCATTCAATTTTTTTTCCTTATTTTGTATATTTCTAATTAAGTATGTCCCACATATCTTAAAGCAGTTATATCATTAGGTTTCTTACCTTATTTTAGAGATACTGATTGACTAATACTATATACTACATTATCTAAGTGGAGTCTTAGATCTCCATGTTTTTGGGCCCATCCCTCTTTCCACAATGCGGATATTTTCAGCATAGATAAAAAATATGTAAGTGGACATGCATGTTTTAAAATATTTCAGAGTATGAATAGGGTTTAAAATTCGAAAAAGCAAGTTTCTTCTATCACACTGCATCTAGATAGGGAAAATTACGTACTATTTAAGACAACTTAAACAACAAAAAACTTAATTTGAAAAAAAATTCTATCATTCAATATTTTTAGCTCACCTGAGCTGAAAACTCAAGTGAGCTTTTCTGATCACCTGTTGTCCGTCGTCCGTCCGTCTGTCTGTCTGTCTCTCCGTTTGTAAACTTTTCACATTTTCAACTTCTTCTCAAAAACCATTGAGCAAATTTTAATCCTTGGGTGAAAGGGAGTAAAAATTGTTAAAATGAAGGGCCAACCCCCCTTACAAGGGGAGATAATCAAGAAAAGACAAAAATAGGTGGGGGTCATTAAAAATCTTCTTCTCAAGAACCACAGGGCTAGAAAAGCTGAAACTTATGTGAAAGCATCCTTGGGTAGTTTAGATTCCAAATTATTCAAATCATGGCCCCCGGGGGTTGGGCAAGGCCACAATAGGGAATCAAAGTTTTACATTAAAAAATATAGGCAAAATCTTTAAAAACCTTCTCTTCTCAAAAACCACTGGGCCAGAAAAGCTGAAACTTTTGTGGAAGCATCTTTGGGTAATGTAGATTCTAAATTGTTCAAATCGTGGCCCCCTTGGGTAGGGCGGGGCCAAAATAGGGAATTAAATGTTTACATTGAAATATATAAGCAAAATCTTTAAAAATCTTCTCAAGAACCACTGGGCCAGAAAAGCTGAAACCTATGTGGTAGCATCCTTGCGTAGTGTAGATTCTAAATTTTTCAAATCATGACCCCCAGTGGTAGGGCGGGGCAACAATAGGGAATCAAAGTTTTACATTGAAATATGTAGGCAAAATATTTGAAAATCTTCTGATGAAGAACCACTGGGCCAGAAAAGCTGAAATGTACATAGAAACATCCTTGCATTGGGTAATGTAGATTCTAAATTGTTCAAATCATGACCCCCGGGGATAGGGCGGGGCCGCAATAAGTATTACAAGGGGGGGGGGGTCTGGTGAAGAACAGCAGGGCTCAGGGGAGCGTTGTGGCCCATGGGCCTCTTGTTTTATTTTACGTTGAAATGCAAGAGATTAACTGTCAAAATTTCGAATGGTCAAGCTGACCCTAATTTTGCACAGGATTTCATTAAAGAAGACATAAGCATGACAATTGATTATGACCTGTTTTTACGTAATAATACCGCCCGTGTATTCAACAGGTATGATCTTGCTGTATTAACAGATCTTGTATGACGTCACCAACTTGTTTGACGCACAGTTTAGGGAAACAGAGGGGTGGATCAATCTTTTCACAATTTGTTAAATTAATGTTTATAAGAATGTTTAACTTTTTTTTATTTTTATTTTTTTTTATTTCTTTTATATAAGATGGTAATTAAAGTAGAACAAATTGTCCAAAATTTTATACAAGAACGATGGTTTACACGTTTTGCACTTATATAAACAGGGACTATGACGTAGTTAAACAGAGTCATGTGACCATGTGTCCTTCATCCCCTTAAGGGTTTTAGTTGCATATCTGTCCTTTTCGACTTCTTTATGGAGGAGACACTAATGTCATGTCTCTAGAAATGAGAATGTAACCAACCTTGATGTCCTGTGATGCCATAACCAAGACCGTCCAAATATCTAGTTAATAACATGTATAAACTGGCGGTATAGAGTTAATAATGAATATGTATCCATTTTTTAAAAGAATACGTACCTAATATTATATTTAAAAAAAACGTTCGTCTATATGGTTGCACCTTTAACATATTTTACAAATAAATCTTTCCTTTGCAGGATGGCACACGTTTGAGAATCATCTCTACTTGTTCTTTCCTGTTTTAACAACGTGGGAACTTGCTAAGGTTTATAGCTACTTATATAATGTTGTATTATCAAAAGAATCAAGTTATATTTATTATAATTGTGAGCTTAAGACAATTCGAAGGACATTTAATTAATGTAAGCCGGTTTATGATATGTGCTACATTTCTTCTATGCAAATTTAAGTAACGTATCACAAACTAGTATAAATTCTACCATAAAATTTTCACACTAAGACAAACTTCATTAGTAAGAAGCGTCTAAAATTTGTTAGGGCTCTTAATAAAATCTGCCTACTGTGACACATTTATGTGACTTACTCACCTGGAAGACTGAAGAAACAATCATTTGTGCTAAAATTTAGGAAAATAAACCTAAGTTACATACATATAAGATATATTTATGAATTTTAATGAATGCAGTTATGTTGATGTTTAGACACAGTGTATGGACAGTGCAGCGTATTTGGTAGAAATCGAATCGTGGAAGGAGAACAAATGGATTCGTAACCTTATGTACGGTATGTTCTTTTAATCGAGTGTTTTTGTTTTATCATTAGCTGAATAAATTAATTTTTTTTTTAATTATAAATGGCTTTAATTTTAAAACTGGAATTAAATAGTATTGCCAACTATTTAACTAAAAAATTCGTATCGGTTGGGGCGTTAGATTGAGGTACATGGTTTTAGCTTATATTTAATGCAATTGTCCATAATGTTCAGTTTTATAAAAATAAAGGACATGCATTATTATCTATTCTACTACGATTATTGCCGAGATCAAAGAAATGCTGTGGACATTATTCTCCAATAAATCACGAACGTCATCAAAAATTATCAGATCAGAAACACATGTCAAATCTGTACAGTTGAAATAAATATTTCACTGTATAATCTAATACTTATTTAGACCACATCGATGTGTCGTCTTCCCCAGTCTAAACGTGTGTATTGCCTGAAACAGCTGATAAACATCTGTTTTTAAAGCTAAGTGGGGCTGTTCTACGGACCTCCCCACAACATTTACACTCCCGTGATTTTACTGATAAATCAATGAAATAGACAACTGGTTTAGTTATTTTTCACTCATAAAAATTAATCAATATATGTTACAAGCAAATTTATAAATAATTAAAGGATATTTTTAATCCAACGAAAGCTGAAATCGTCTGCATTTTATGCAATCGATTGACCCTCTGGTGTTAAATGGAACAGCGAAATTGCGACATGGTGATCTCATTCGTTTCTCTTTTGAGAAAAAGATCAACTGTATTTTAAAGCCGTTAGTAGAATAGAAATAAAGTCCTTGTTGTCGTGAATGATGCAGGATAACCTCCGAGGTCGAGAAATGTTGTCTGAAATATAAAAGCCTCGGCTAACGCCTCGGCTTTTATATTTCAGACAACATTTCTCGACCTCGGAGGTTATCCTGCAACATTCACGATAACGCAGACTTTATTTCTTAAATAATTCCAATCTTAATTTTATTTATTGATTTCCTGTGTTTTGATTGGACGAGAGCAAATTCAACAAAAAGTTTACACATCGATAAATCTCTAAACCAGAACCACTTTCTTGGCCTACATGTAGCTTTTATTAAAAAAAAAAAGAAAGAAAGAAAGAAAAAAATCGTTACTTTTAGTCTGTTTTAGCTAAAACGATTACAGAAACTTTAAATTATATAAAAACAATACTGACAACATAAAGGACTGACAGACGGGAATGTTATGTTTATGTCACTGTCAGATCTTGAGTTAAATCTCTCATAGGATATTATCGTCGTTCTTAATGCTAAGCAAATCAGCTCAGTTCTCGGTAGCTGATAGGAAAGAGAAACGTACCTCAGACTCTTGCCTTACTAGCATCAAATTCATATTTCTACATCCTATATTCTGTTCCGTCTTTAAACAAATCAGAACAAATCAAGGCTGTTGTTGGTATGCTACTTTCATTTTAGAGCGTCTGTCGATAATGTCAACATGGTCAAGGACGAATTCTTCTGAAGTCTACCTGTATTTACCATATTCGTTGACTTAAGCAATATTCGAAGAGTTTTTATGTTTGTTTTATTGAATATTTTGATAATTTAAGTTAAACTTTATCGATGTTCATCTCGATTACGTTTCATTTCATTTCATTTCATTAAATATTCTGTTGTGAGGATTTAGGAGCAGAAAGATTTTGGACTTGTGTCGGTGATATAGTAGCAATTCTATGAAACTGGACAAATAAAGCATTTTTACTGTATTGACGATATGAATTTGTTATAGCTGTAATTTCTCTATCTTGTTCTCACTGTCACGGTATCTCATTCAATAGAGCGCTCGCTCCGTGATCGGAAGGCCGTGTGTTCGAATCACGGCCGCCACTGACCGAAGTCGATAAAAAATAGGTAGGAACTGTTCCTTTGCCAAGCGCTCAGCACTTTGAAGTGAAAGTTGCGGGTCCTTTGGATGAGACTTTAAAAACTGAGGCCCCGTGTCAAGGCAGGCGTTGGCACGATGGGGTACCCTCAATGCTCAATGACCCAGAGTTCCGAGTAAAGGTCTAAATTTGAAGCCCTTCACCGGTATCGTTCCGTCTCTATATGAGTGAAAAATTCTCGAACGAGACGTAAAACGTCAGTCAATCATTCTATTTTGTTTAATACTACATCACTTTTTTCATACTTATTGTTAGACCATTATTTACACACTGAATTGTCGACGGATTTTTCCGTTATTTCCCGATCATGACAAGGAGCACACGGCGGGTGTGACCGCTCGGCGGGGGATGCTCACTCCTCCGTGGCACCTGATCCCACCTCTGATGTCTTAGAGGTCCGTGCAATATGGCCGCCGCCATTACATCTATAGCACTGTTTCTTGTCATTCTTATCACTGAACTTTAAATGTCTGTTTTTCACACGTAGTCTATTTTCAACCCCAGTCACAGTCCTGTTCCTACTCTGTAATTCTGAGCATCTTTAGCTGCGGCTTCCATAGCAATACTGATTTCTATTGCATTTTCATAAGACAGTATTTTTCTGACAGCAAACGTTTCTGAATCTGAGTACTTCTTACACAACATACTAATCTGTCTCTCAGTTTTTAATTAAGTATTGCATTAAAATCACACTGAATCGAAAGTATCTTTAACTGTGCGATATATTCAGCAATAGTCTCCCCTCCTTCTGACCTCTTTTATCAAGTTCTGCCGTTTTAATAGGTTTAGGGGATAAATGACTATTTAGAAGTCTTACCACTTCTTCATACGACTTTGTCGCTAGCTTGTCGAGAAATGTCAGATCACGAAGCAGTGCATACAGCTTTCCACTTATCAGACACTATAAAGATGAATACCTTCTTTCCAGCGTCGATTTCGTTTACCTCGAAATATTGTTCAAAACGTTAAACGTAACACTCCCATGATTCGAGCGTCTCATCAAAAGGGTTAATTTTGCCGATCAATCCAAGCGCCGCCATATCCTTGCGAATTATCACCACAGATCCATTTTTACAGAACAAGTTATAGTCGCCCGCGTGGCGCAGTGGTTAGAGCGTCTGCTCTAGAGTCGCAAAATTTGCAGCTCTCCAACGGCAAGTGGTGGCGTCTCTAGCTGCAGAACTGTAGCTCTCTGCTTTAGAAAATTCGGACAGATAAAGCAGAGAGCTACAGATCCAAGCGTTGTAAAAACCTCCGATTTACACCGCCGCTTTTTTGTCGCTCGCTTCAGCTATTATTTCTTGAATTTTATGCTTTCCCCCGCTTTAAGAATGGTATCCGATAATTAACCATATATTTAACTCCTATTCCTGATATTTTAATTTACCTGTCAACGGTTCCAAACGGCCTTATGTGGTTTTAGAGTATCAGTTAAAAAATTCCCTTTCTTTCCGACGTCCATGTTGGTGTCATCCTAAAATAACACGCCCGAGTTATATTTATCTAATACTTTTTTTTTAAATACATGTATTGTCTTCTTTTTAGACAATATACACGATATCTGAATTTTTTATTTACATTTTCTCGGCAATAGTATGTTCCCTGAAAGACCCCAACATGGCCGTCGACGGAAGGGAATTTTTTAAACCGACATTTCAAAACCATAAAGGGATGTTTGGGACCGCTGAAAGGTAAATAAAGTATTTAGAATAGGAGTTAAATATATGGTTAATTATCGGATACCATTCTTAAAGCGGGGAAAGCATAAAATTCAAGAAGTAATAGCTGAGGTGAGCGACAAAAAAGCGTTGGCGTAAATCGAAGGTTTTTACAACGCTTGGATCTGTAGCTCTCTGCTTTATCTGTCCGAATTTTCTCAAGCAGAGAGCTACAGTTCTGCAGCTATGGCGTCTCCATATGAGTGAATAATTCTCGAGAGGGACGTTAAACGACATACGAACGAACAAACAGAACGAGTTATAAGATCGGACAAGAATGAAACTGTTGCAAGGCTTCAATAGTTTACCTCGTTGCCAATTTGTTGTGTGTGCTCTATTTCAGCATGAGCACATGGTTAAAAACAACGTAATCGTTAACTGACTACTATTTATTCTACAGTCATGTAATTGATAACGCACAATAACATCTAGCAGATAAATCTATACATATGCAAATATAAATTCTGGTTGTAACATTTTACATGGGAATTAAGAGAACTTTATTTAAGTAAATATTTTCAAGAACGACAGAATATCTTGTAGTATCAATAGTCTTGTCATCTTATCATAGTACATGTAGTTAATAAGTCGGTTAAACCATTATGGGAGCTAGGGGTTTGTGCAGTCATGCCAACCTAAATGCGTAATAAAATGCTCCCTTGCCTACTGTTCGGTACCATTAAAGTAAAAGTTGCATTTTTTTTTTGTCCTGAAGATACTTTAAAAACTAAAGTTTGGCATGTGTTTGCATACTTCTAAACCCCTTTGCAATGTTCGTAAAACAGCATCATAATTGGGGTGGGACGAGACTATTGACTAGAAGTTGTCTTAGAAATATAGAGGGAAAAATCTCCTGATTATGGTTGAAGAATTGTAGAGTAGTTATGCATATAACATTTCGTGGTAAACATGAAGTCGTCTCTTTATATCTAAAAACAAGGAAAATTACCCTATCCCCACACCCATGCAATTAGCGATTTTACAGTAAATGAAACATAGTTGAGCGTCATGACCCATGAATTTCTTTTACTTTACGTACATTTACGTAAAAAAAACTCTACTCAGGGCTTTACTAACGTGATGTAATTTGTTATCTTGTACAGATTATTGTTTAAAAAACGCCGAGTGGTGTCACGTCTGGATTGGTGCCAGCGACAATGCAAAGGAAAGCATATTCACCTGGAGCCGAAATGGCAACCCAGTCACCTTCACAAACTGGGCGTACGGTCAGCCAGATAATGCAGGCCGAGCGGAACATTGCGCTCATCTTTATCGGAATGGTCAATGGAACGACGCACCCTGTCATGTTTCACTCTCTTTTGTTTGTGAAAAGAACTTGAGTTGAATTTCAACAGGTATTGAGGTATA